ATTGGAAATAAAGCATTTCATACTGAAACAGCATACACAAACATCACAGCCACATGTAAAAACTCATGTTTAAAACTACAGAATTTCAGAAAAGTTCCTGTTGATGATTTGTTTCTGGTCTTCAGTGATTAACAGAGCAGTTACTTTGACGTCCTTGAACCTCAAGCCTTGAAGGCTGTTCTTTGAAAGAATGACTATTGGCATGTGAACAAAGGTTCAGGCCTACCTCTGAAAGCAATCCTACTGTTGCTCTTTTAACTCCAGATGCCAGAATCCAGAGTTCTCTCCCAACATGACAATACTTACATACCTGTCTGTAGTAACACCAGCCTCTAAAATCACATCCTTCTCGAGGTTGTATTCACAAAACTCTACAAAGTAGTGCATCCATATCTCGGACCACTTTCCTGCAGTACTCTGCTTCCCACAAATGCTAGAAAACCTGTAATATTTTTTTTTGGTATTTCAGAACAATGCCTAACAAGCTCAAGTGTTGCACTACCTAACACTTAAGGACTGAAACTTTTTATAGGTTACTGCTTGAAACTCATGAGAGTACCAGAAATATATTAAAAAAAAAAAAAAAGGATTTAAAGAAGCCTTAGAAATATCATGATTCACACTTCAGCTAGGAAACCAAGATGTAGATCTACTTGAGAAGTTGGTCTTCTATCTCCTTTGGCTTCTGGAAGATAGGAAGACTAATTTCAACCCCCTCATTAAATAGTAGCTACTGATGATGCAAAGTCAAGATAAGCCTTTTGCATTAATATAAATTCAGTATAGAATAGGAAGAAACTAGGTACAGTCATCCATTTGCAAGTAGTGTAAATTGAAGCTGAATCACAGGAAATTCTGAAAGAAAAAAAAAAAGCAAAGCCATCTGAAATGCCTCATACATATAAGCCCCATGAAGTTCATTCATTATTTGTACATGGGGATTAAAAGCAAAGACCTGGCCTAAGATAGGTATGGGAAGACAGTAATTCATGCATAGGATTTTTCTCTGGATTTCACTAAGAATTCACATGATTCTGCCTCTTGAGAGATGATCTTTCATCTTTGACAAAACAAGCATGCTTTTTCTTCAACACCACCTCCAAGCAATGGCTGTGATACAGCTGTTTTCCTTTTACCTTAAGGATGCCTTCCCTCTCAACTTTTGTACACTACATACCAAAGTTGCATAAAGGACAGAGCGCACTGTGTCTCAACAGGGCAACATAGCAGAAAACGTAACATTCAACCTGGCAGTATTTTCTTTATTTAAATGACAAACAGCTAAGCTGAACAAAAGCACCTGGAGTTTTCACCCTGAGAAAAATAGCACAATTTTTTGGGGGTGGGGCAGAGCAGAGCTGTCTTCAAAGTCAAAACGACTATAACACTTTTTTCCAGTCGTCAGGGTCTACAAAATGGTGTTTCTTAATAACTCCCTTCTCAAAATTAAACGAACATCTTAGAATTATGCATGAAGACATTGCTTCTTTATAACTTCTGAGAACTTGCAATGCAGTGATGTAAAACCAGTTAGAAACCACGCAGCAGACAATCTTCCTTCAAATGCACCTTGTTCAAACTATTGTCCACTCAAAATTTGGGAAGGTTTCCCTGAGCTGTGTTTCTCTGGCAATCCTACTGAGATCAATATCTTGTGTTGTGAGGTTTTTCCCTCTGCTGGCCACCATAAGGACTTGCTCCTAACCTTTTGTGATACCTTGTGTCTCATGCAGTCTTCCCACTAGGTCCTAACAATCGAGTATATTCAGTCTGTGAAAATCAATCAAGGTGATCATCTGGTTCAATAAAAAGATTACCAGGTCATACGAAACACTACCTCCATCTGCAGAGGTTTAGAAAGACAGAGCCACAGAACACAGATGACTCAGACCTCTTCAGAAAGTTGAAGGATTCTTGTGAGTTTCTTCAGTGTATTTTTATAAACAGATGCTCATTTTTGAGCATTTCACACTAAAAATAACTTCAGAAGAACTCAAAACCAGCTAGCTTTACTTTGATGAAACAGGTATACAGATTTTAGAGTCTTCAAGCACCAAATGTGCTTTTTTTAGAGCACAAAGAATAGTTTACACACTACAACTCCATCCACCTTGGAGATGGACCACTTAATGGAAACTAGTTTCCAAACTACATTTTTTCAACAGTAAAAAAAAGCATCTTAGAAGAATAAGGAACGAGAGAGGTTCTACCAACAGTTTAGATGACATAAGCACTCTAATTATGATGCTGTTTTACCCAATTCAAAAGGGGATTCAAAAGGATCAGTGCTAAGAAAGCAATTGATTACATAATTTTTTTGTTCTCTGGTACACTGTTTTCTCCTCCAGCCCTTCATCCCTACATACATTTCATGAAGAAGGTTGCAGATCCCTGCTTTTAGGAACAGACTACGAAATAAAATATTTTAAATCATTTCACATTATTATTTCTCCAGCTTTACCTCTTCCTTGCCATGTGCACACAAATTCCTCTACCCTTCGCTTCTCTTTACAGTGACTCAGCATTTCTGAGCTACTCAGGCCTACTCCCACAAACTATGCATATGGCTTATATTCTTCTGGCCACTGTAACGAAGTTCCAAAGAAAGGGGTCTACAGAATACTATCCATAGTCAGGGAGTATATCCACATCATATGCCTATAAATGGTGTATTAAAGCTGACAATAAAATAGAGGTTAAAGTATGTACGGTTCCAGTAACAATAAAGCAGGAAAAAAATGGTATTTCTCTTCCTCAGCTGCCCACTGTATAAGGCCATCATAGTCGTCTTTTTTTTTCCATATGCTAAAAACCAAACCTTAATATAGGTTTCTTTCTTTACCTAACCATAATTTGCTTATTTCTTTTTACTACCAATGTGGTATACAGCAAAATCTCACAAGTAGGACTTATTACAATATAGCATTTATTTTAATCCTGGGAAAGGATAAAAGCAAGTACTAAAAAATCCTCTCCCCCTCCCAAAAAATCAAAACCCTCTTGTATCTTTCACAACCCAATTGCATTGTTTTCTTTACAGGTCATTTTCCTTTTACATCCTAGGCAGACTTCCCCTCCACAATTATTGCTCTACAGAGATGATTATAGTGAACATTAAACAGAACCAAAAAAAAAACCCGCAAAACATTTGTTATTATTGGAAAATACATTGAAGGGCAATAAAATTACTTCATGTAAATTGGGGAGGGGGCAAAGCTCTCTATGGTGTTCTATAAGCAAGACAATACAAAAATCAATCCAGACAAGGAACATCAACCCTTTCCTTCAATCAAATGGCTCAAAGCAATAGAATTTTCATGCCAGAGGAGTAAAGTCAACATAACTTTCCATGAAGCCCCAAGCTTAAAGAACCCTTCTGTGGGAAGAACTGCAGCGTTAGCATTCCCTACGCTTAAAAGGGACACAGTGAGCAGAAAGGAGATCCACTTTACACAAGACTCAGCAGCCAGCATACCCAAGGAAATCAATACCAATTCTGTCAGCACTGATTTCTGCAGAGCTTTACCCCCACAAGTAGATATGAGGTAGGGCATAGGAAGGATAGGCAACAGCAGCTATGCTCTTGTGGGAATGCTGGGCAAGTAAAGAGATTGGCAGGCATTTTCCTCTGTGGATTCCCAAGAAAAAAAAAAAAATCACGTAGAAACATGGAGAAAGCACTATTCCCAAAGGCAGGTCTGCAAACACTTGCAAGTCCCGTTCTTCCCACACCCCTTGAAAGAGGGGAACAGCAAGTCCCTAGTGTTTCAGGTTATTTCAAAGAACGGTCTCACTTTAGAGGGGGATTAGTTCTGAATGAAGTATTCTCTTCAATAGCTCCATTTTCCAACAATCAAACAGGTTTTTTGTGCCTTCCATAACATATTGGTGTGCTTAAATGCATCCAAAGGCACATACTGGTATCCAATAAGCCAGGAAGCAAACCTTCTTCCCATTAAAACATGAAAACTACACAACCATCTCATCTTTTTTTCAAAGATTATACAGTGTCTCCACATTAATTCCACATCCGAAATGGCCCATAATCAATACCAACAAAAGCACATACGATGCATAATAAATTCACTTTCTAAAACTTCAGAAGTAATGCTATTCAATAGGTAGGAACCCCACTACAGCTAAGTCCTTCAGCAGTGTCACAAACACTGATCTGCTTCATTGCCTCTCTTCTCTACCATGACAACCTCTTCCTGCACAAACCATCTTTACCTTCACTTTATTTTTTTTATTTTAAAAAAATAATTTCTTCCCACAGGTTAAAAAGGCAATTTTTTGAATAAAAAAATTATAAAAATAGGATGAAATAATGTTAAGGGGTGTCTCCTAAGCACTATCATTTAGAGTAGGTTTACTTCTTTACCAATTACTTCACAAAACCAAAGGTTGTTCCATCTCATGCAATTTAGGGGAAAAAAAATACCGTGTGCGTCTACACAAAATGAAATACTAGATATTGTCATTAAAAATGCAGGTAGTATTTGACAAAAACCAGTAACACCTTATAGTGGTCTTCACTGGTCACGCATTGGCAGGAAACCAATACTGCATTTCTTAGGTAGGCTTAGAGCGTATCATGCACAAGTAACTCATGCTGTAAGTTCAGGATTGTAAAGAAGCTCCCTATGCAGACATATCTGCAGTCTAGAGCTATTTTGGAAAAGCAATTTGTTAATAATGGTATTCCATAAGTCCTGATAGCGGAATCTACGCTGATCAGACAAGTCAACTTTGCATAATTCCTATTCGTTTTATCTACAGTTCAGCGTCTGAACCACCCTGAAATTCAAAATAATTATTTTTAAATGAACACAAGGGAAATTACATTCTTGTTTAATTACATGTCCTCCTTTAATTCCTAAAAATGGTGGTAAGGACCACCATTAAGTCTTGAAGAGCTACAGAGTAAAACATGTAAGTACAGTTCCACATCACATATTATGGTTTTGAAAATTCTGCAGACAAGCATCTTTTTACCCTACCTTGTCGTGCTTCTGCTGGTGCCTTGCCCTAGTATCCAAGATATGGTAAGGGGTTTCAGAGTCTCTGTTGATGTAATAGACTAGTCTTGAGGGCAATGTGATTTCCTTCTGGACTGAACTGCTGTAGCTGTTATTTTTACTGTTACTGCTTTTATTCTGTTGAAACGTGGTCTCTTCATCTACCAGTACTCCCTCTATACCACCTCCCGTTTCATTCCAATGCAGGTCTGAGGAAGAAAGATATGCCAGCCATAAATTAGACGGCAGAATGTGTTTATTTCCATAAAAAGCTACATATTTAGCTTGCAGCATTCTAATATTTTATTAATCACTCAAGCAAACAAAAAGACAGCTTACTCATTGAGCAAGATCTGATTCATTTTTCACACATAAAATGGTTTCAGAAATAACATTATCTATTTAAGTGCCTATACACTTTCATATGTAGACATGGATTATAAATCTTTTAATGCCTCTCTGCCTCCAAGAGGAAAAAAAAAAACAACCCTTAATGGATACATAGTTACCCCCTACACCCTCTTTGCGAGCTAAGTTCTAAAGACACGAGCACACACAAAAAAACGAATGTACATCTACGGAACGCTAAGAACGCTGCCCATGTTCCCAAGACAAACTGAATTAATTCAGAGTCCATGCGCACTGCATGCTAATCAACCCCCTTTACATAACGGAAAGTTTTCCACCTCTCTTTTAACTTTGACAAGAGCCCTTTTCCGCGGTGGCAGCTTTTCGGATGAAATCTTGTCTCCGACATTAAAATTTCACGACACAGCCAATCAACGAGCACCGTAACGGTAACGCCACGATGCACAAACTGACCATATCCAGCATTCCACGTCTCCTCTGTGCAACCACAGATAAGCGAAAAGCACACGCACAGACCCAACGCCGAAGAGATCCGCCTCCCAGGCAGAGCCCCGCACACGCGGCTCCCGGCGCGCACAAGCCGCCCCAGCCCTCTCGTGTCGCAGAGCTCGCCACCCCCTCCTCCGCGCACCGCCCTC